TAAACAAGATCACAGAACTCTTTGAAGGTGACTTTAGGAAATCCCTGTAGCCCATTAAAAAACAAGATTGTGGAGCTGGCCCTGTGGCCTAGGGGTTAAGTTTGTCATGTTCCACTTCACTGGCCCGAGTTTGGTTCCCAGGTATGGACCTACACCACTCATCAGCAACCATGCTGTGGCAGCAACCCACATACAAAATAGAGGAAGATTGGCACAGATGTTAGCTCAGTGTGAATCTTCCTCAGCAACAAAAAAAATGTAAGATTGATGTAACAATATTAGGTTTATGTAGGAAAATGTTCTTACCTTTAAGAGACACTAGCTGAAGTATTTAAGCACAATATGTCATAATGTCTATAATTTACTTTTTTCAAAAAAGCAGTAAAAATGCATAATTGAAGCAAAGACAACATGTTAATCATTATTCTCAGCAATGAGTGTATATTTATTTCTATGTATCTTTAATTGCGTAAAAATTTTCATAGTAAAGAGTAAAAAAACACATTGTTGCATAAAAAAGTAAGTAATGATTATAGGATAGGGATTAAGGTAGTGAATACAAAGGAAAGTTCAAAAGGGATGTCATTTCTGGTGATTGATGATGATGATGACAATGCTACTCATTTTTATACCTCCCTTCTACTCTCATTAAACCAAGAACAGAAAAGTTTACCAAGCGCCAGGCACTGTGCTGATCACTTTTCATGCATAGTTTCCTTTAGTCCACAACAATCCTACGAAGTAGGGATTGTCTTCTCCATTTTATGGATGAGGCTGAGACTCAGAGAAATTCAATGACTTGCTCTGGAGCTCTCATCACTGCTACCATGCACTCCTTTTGCCTTAGGGAGAGCTGTGTGGAAGTGACTGTGTTGAAAGAATTCAAGATGTATGGGGAGATAGGTGAAGGCACGGAGGGACTGACAAACTGGATGAATGGGGAGAAGGCAAACAACAGTAAGTCCCAAGGAAGTCTGAATATTTTAGTGAAATGATGAGGCTGTGATTGGGGAAGGAAAAGTACTGGGAGGTGGTCCATTGTATAACTGTAATAGTGTGTCTGATCTCTATGAGAGGTCTTGGGGTGACCAATATGACTATTGAAATTTCTAAGAATGAGTATGCAATTGGTATATATGGGAAAAAGGAGTAAGTAGGGGTGAAAAGACATATTTTAGACAAGGCTTCTGGCCTCGTTAATAAAGCGCAGCATACCACCTATTCCACTCGATTCTAAGGCTGATCAGGAGAAGGATTCTTAACAACTTCCCCCCAGTCCATAAGAGTATTTTGACAGTGGGAAAAGTACCGCTTCCAGTGAATTTTCTTTAGCATTTCCAAAACCAATTCACTATTTTTTTTTCTAGAAACATTTGAACACCAGTTAGATATACGCCCAATAACCCAGCACCCTCCAGGTTTTTAAAAGTGAATGTTACTTGTGCAAGTTAGAATCTGATACCAATTAAATGGTGACAGCTTTGCCAATAAACAAGAATATGCTCTTCCATGGCCAGGAAGGGAGACTGCCACAGCTGACAGGTCCCAAAGACACATGGAGACAATTCACTAATTTTTAATGATTACTTCCTTTGAGCAGGGGGTACTGACCAGGGTTCAGCTATTTCGTCTTGAACTAGAATTTAATTTGAAAGGACATTTTGCTTATTGGGGGAAAAAATTCCTACCTAAGAATAATTGGTCAACTGTGTGCTCTGTTGGAATTCTGCTAGAGAGATTATCACAGCAAGCTGGTGGCCTAGGGGGGCCGAAACAAATCATTTTTGTAAAATTGAAATGAGTTCATTTCAGTTGATAGCTTTTCATTTAATTTTAAAATGTAAGTGGCTATTTTTAAAAGAAGGAAAGGAAGTCTAAATTGCCCTACTAATCTAGTGAAATATTGCCAAGAGGATAAAAGCAGATAACTGTGAGCCATGTGGGGGATCCTTTCCAAGGCTTGCTTTTAGACCTCTCTTCTGTTCTCATTAATGCAAGTCCCAAAGATCAAATGAACCCGGGACCCAAGCCGAAGGCAAGGGCACAAATTGTTTACTTCATCTCTGCCAGCAGCCTGCTCACCACCGGGCTGGGATGCAGGCACACGGCTCAGAAGAATAATAATCCTATTTTCACTCTTCCAGGTCTCCATAAGGAGCCACCAGGGAGCAGCAGATGACAAGTCACTCATCTGGCTGCCTCCAGTTAGATGTGTGTTTGAAAATGAATGGGAAGGCTTATAGGAATGGGGAGAAAGAGGAGGGATAATCATGGCATCAGTAACTTACATTCGTGTGGTGTTGTGATTCACAAAGTGATTCACATGCGTGCTTGCCTACGATCTTGCCTTTTGGTGAGCAGGACATGCATCTTTAGTCCCATTGTACAAACTAGCAATCCAAGACCCAGAAATGTTAAGACAGAAATTTGTTCCAAATCATACAATTTGTTCAGAACATGAGGTTTGAGAGCAAATGCCCTGGTTTCAATCCTGGCTTTACCACTTACGAACTGTGCAACACTGGAAGGTTACTCAACCTCTCTTTGACTCTATTTCCTCATCTGTAAAATGGAGCTAAGAATAGCATCCATCTCAAAGGTTGTTGTTGGGATCAAATGACAGAGTGCATGTCAAGTACTAAGAACCCTTTTGGCACATAGTATTCAATCAACACTATCATTACATTTGTAAAATGTTTGATGGCTTGCAAAGCATATCAGGTTCAACTATGTGTATTAAGAACCAGAGCCAGGCAATGTGCTAAATTCTGGAGATGCTAGAATAAATCACTCATGACCTCAGGCATGCCACGGGTCACAGACGAGTGTGAGTCATAGCACGGATAAACTGACTTGCTCAGTACAAAGTGGTATTTCAAACAATAAGGGAATTTAGCCCAGCCTGAGAGTCTTAGAGAGGGCTTCCTGAAGGAAAATGCTTTTCTAACTTTTCCTTTACTAAAACTCTCTGAAAGGTATTATTTTGTCCATTCTACAGATAGCAAAACAAGGCTCAAAAAAGTTAAAGGCCTTCCCAAGTGAGTGGCAAAGCCAAGTCTCAATTATATTAAACCACCTGAAGGATACATTTTCTGTGAATTAAATCATTGAGACAATAAGCTGTTTATTTTTCCCCATTATCTTTCTTGTATAAATAGAAACAAAAACTCATTCTTTCTATGTCTTACCTTTTTGCCCTGAAAAATTTGGCACAGCGCCAGGTTCTCTATAATCCCCATTAACTAAAAGTCAATAGAAACCTACATTGGAAGGAACAATAGTTTACTGTTGGGGATCTGGTGGGGCAGAGATTACATGTTGTTGAATCCTACTTCTATCACCCCTAAGTTTTAAGACAAGCAGCTTAACCTCGTTGAATCTCAGTTTTTCCGTTCATAAAATGGAGCAATAACAATTTTCATCTCCTAGAATTGCTGGGATAATTACATTAGTACAGTGCGCAGCACACATTGTAATTGCTCAATAAACCTTCACTATTAACTTTAGCTAGAGAAACGCCATCTAGTCCGCCCACTTTACCCCTCTGGTCTGATCACACAAGTGATCTGTGCATTCTTTTTTTGAAATCCTTTTCCAGAAAGAGATTTTAGAGTTTGCCTATGAAGCTTTCCAATGCTGGACCAATCTCACAAGCTGGAAATCCAACTCTTCCATGCATTGCTTATGCTTTCATTTAAAATATTAACATTCTGCTCTCAGAAAAAAACAGAGACTGGCTGGTTATACTTTTTCCGGATAAATAAAAATCTCAACTTTCTCTCTCCCAACTGTCAAATCCCAGGAACTTTGCTTTTGTCTTTAGAAGTCTCTTATCCACGTCTTTCCTCTAGTCGTGGATGGGGCGTCTTATGTCCTAAGATTGCTATGGTGATAATGCAGGTGGCTACTCATAATATCGTGTGTGTTGTGCTCTTTGTTTTCAAAGCACATTCATTTGCTTACCTTGTTGATCCTAAAACAACGAGAGAGATAGGGAGGCCAGATATGATTCCCAGGTAAAGGATGAGGAAACAGGTATAAAGGAAGGAATAACAGTAGCCACTATTGCTCAGCGCTGATGATGTCCCAGGACTTTTATGCATATTATCTTATTTTAAGTTCTTAAGAACACTCTCTAGTGGGTGTTATTAGTTCATTTTGGAGGAGAGAAAAATGAGACTAAGAAAGGAAGTCACATATCCAACATTCTCCAGATAATAAGTGGTAGAGCTGAATCTCAAGTTCAGGTGTGTCTTACTCCAAAGCCAATAAGTTCAATCGCTACCTTTTAAAGATTTGCTCACCTCATCAGTGACTACCATGACATTAAAATCCAAGACTCCTGATTGATAGTCCAGGGCACCCTCCATTAAATCATTCAGTCCATCTTGATTGGGTGAGATGCTAGAGCTAGACCCACCTATGACTAAGCTAGTTGCTGCCCCACAGAACTGCAAAGTTCCCCATTTTTAGCCAGTCTTCTATTCCTAGCTTCCTGGTCCATGCCTACAATTTTGGGGTCCCCAACCTTGCAGATAGGAATAAATTTACACATATTACCTATTATATATTTATATAATTGCACATATTTATATAAAAATATATCTTCATATTATATATTATATATATTCTTATATAAAGTACATCTATATACATGCATATTGATGTGTACACATGTAAATGCTTCCAGATTTTGCCAGATTCTCCAGCAAGACTATAGATTTGCCAGGCCAAACAAACTTCTCAGGGATTCATCAGCAAGGACATTTCTTTAAACATAGAAGTGGTTGTGGAGGAAAGTGAAAAAGAAAAGATTCTGGAAGTTTCTTCTCTTTCCCTGAATGTCCAGTCCATGTGGGCCTACATGCATACTCACATAGGAATTGTAAGGCGAGCACTGAGCTGCGGGATGGATTCCAAGCATGTTCGCCCTTTCCTGGGGAGTATGTGCTTATGTTACTATTTGAGCTGCCCCACTCATTCATTTTCCATTTTAAAAGGAGATGATGGCGAAAAAGGAGATCCAGGAGAAGAGGGGAAGCACGGCAAAGTGGGACGCATGGGGCCAAAAGGTAGGGAAAATGATTTGAAATGGACACTGTAATGTTACAATTGCTCTTCTCTCTCTCCTGGACTTGCCTCGGAAATTAGCAGCTTTCGTAACACCCTCTACTCCAAAGATCCAGGAAATATGTTTCAGATATGAATTTACTCACCACCGGAGAGTTCGTATGAGATGGCCTGTCAACAAGATTTGAACATATTTCTCAACCCGCATCCTTGGGGCTGGCTAGAGTGAAACACTCTGGAAGCCCCAGGGAATAGCGGTCTCCGGGAATATCTAAGAAATGAATTTTAGAAACACAGCTGTGTTCATAGCTGTGTCTCTCCTCAGAAGCCACTGCTAAGCGACTCTTTTTGGCTGGGGGTCTAGAGCTTAAGGAGGAAGTTGAGAAGGAGCAAAAACAGTTGTCTGGTCCGTTGGTTTACTCACCTTCTCTAAGATCTCTGGCGAATGGTGGGGAGGAGAAGAAGCAAAGGAAATGAAGATAACACAAAGGCTGGAATGTTTTTACTCACAAAGCCAACAGTAAGTCTCAGCAGAGTATAACCTCTGGATTTTGATGTGTAAGCGTGTATCTTCCAAGCACTAGAAATATTCCCTGCCAACTGCTACAAGGGATGACCCTGGACCACTGCTTTTAAGGTGTTCAGTAAATGAAAAACAAGAAAAGACTCACAAGCCCTTGAGACCTTAATTTGAGAAATGCCGATTTAAACGCCTCTTATTCTATAAATATGTACAATATTCTGTAAATACGTACAATCCATTGCAAAATTGTCACAAAGTATAGTTTTATAATTGGTAAATATTTTTTACATCATCATATAAAAACAAAATTAATAATTTTGGAGGAACTCAGTGATCTCTGATCATATTTTTTTGGAAAAACTTGATGGCACAGTCTCTGATGTCCCTTTGATCACTGGTTTTTATGACTGTACATTCCTTCCCCTTTTTTAAAAAATGACTATTTTTTAATAGTCGAATCTCATTTTAAAATAGGGAGGAAATAGAATACCAAAGTGAAGCTAAAATGGGTTTCGAGAGGAACAGAATTAGAATAGATGGAAAAATTCTTCCACTCAGCCCCTTACCTGACCTTTAGATTAAACGTCCTCTGCTATAGACCTTTTAGAAATATTGCATCAGTAAGCATTTTAATATCATTAGGTCCAAGATTGTCATACACAGCCACGTTTTAATTTTAATGCATATATTAGGATGCTACTAAAACAGATAATATAGCACAGGATATTTATTGTATACCACAGAGAGAAGAATGCACTTTCCGGTACTTCCTTCAAGTAAATATCATATATTAGCCACATATTTAAAGGGGAAATAAAACTTTAGGATATAAAAATGACCTGCTTTGCTTTTCAGGGATTAAGGGAGAACTGGGTGATGTAGGAGACCAGGGCAACATCGGCAAGACTGGGCCCATCGGCAAGAAGGGTAAGCTGCTTTTTACGCTTCTCCAGTAGCAATTTAAAGCAAATTGAGCATGTTCCTGATATACTTTGAAAGGTTCTGTATCATGAAAGTGATCCTTTTACTTTCTTTTAAAACATGTTTTCTCAAAAAAAAAAAAAGTAGACTGTCTATTCCATGACAGAAACTCTTTATCCAACATGGCTGAATGATTGTTTAAAATGGATTTTAAGTACAGTGGATTCTCACCTGTAAAAATACTCCCAAGACATCTAGTCCATGTGACTCATGAGCTGCCTCCACAAAGCTGGGGTATTTGTCCGAATTCCAATGAACATCATGGAGCTGAAAGGGAGGTACACAACACAATTCAAACATTATTTTTTAAAACATCCTTAAAAACATAAATGCAAATAAAACATTTATGTAGATATAGGAAAAATGTGAGTTTTCTCTTTCCTCATATCTTGCATACATAAGCAATATGTTTTTAAAAAATGGAGGACTTGAACAAAATTGAGCATAAATTCAGGGACAGAATCAAACACAAAGTTCAGGTTGTCTCTATATTGAATTCTGTTCTGGGATTTACTGGTTGGAATCCTGGATACAATCGAAATGGGTATCATGACCATGAAGCAGCTTCCATTGTAGAGAACAATTATTCATAAAGCTCAAGGTAGCAGAGAACAGTATAATTTTCCTTCTTAATTTGAGTGGAATAATAATAATTCTGTGTCTGAGATCTACTGAATTGACGGGATAGGAACTTGAAGTATGTATGTGCACACCCTTTCGTTTTCAGTCTTGTCCTGATCCTGTGCATAATTACTGCTGTAATATTGCAAAATAGAGTAGCCTCTTCTTTATTATCTAAACACTCTTTCCCTATCATCTTCTCATAAAGCCTCGCAATGATAGCAGGTTCTAGTTGCTTCCGATGTGCAGTAATTCATCCAGGCATCATTCCACTGGATTTGAAGATAAAAAGCTGAGTGAGAATCAAATTTTATTGCAAGGAACTCATAGACTATTTAGGAAGATAGAACTTTCTCAAAAAGAATTCCAATACAGAATAACTATATGATTATTATGGGAACCATGTGGGAGAGCAAGGCAAGATTGACAGGAAAAAGAATTGCCCTAAGTCTTGGAGAATAGTAACATGTTTATGGAAATGGGGAAAAGACATTTGCGGGAGATGCAAGAGATACCTGCACAAAGGTACAGATCAGGGGAAACTCAGTGCCATGGGCAGCAGAATTCTGCAGCCCTGTTGTACCCTCCATCCTTCCATACATGCTTGAGCAGCTTCATAATCAAACAGGTGCCTTGCAGTGGCCAGCAGTGTGTCCTTGGAGGCAGGTTGATAGATGCAGACTGAGCTGAGGCTGTGGCCCCTCTCCCCTCATCCTGTAGCTCAGTACTCCGCTCTCCACTCTTTTCCAACTCATTCCTTTAAGAAATTTCCTTCGACCTGCTTTTGAAGGCAGGGAAAGAGGGCAATGCCACTAAAGAGAAATCCCTATGGTTATTTTTGACCCAGTGGCTTATATTGTATGTTGACCTGGTTAAAATCGTCATCACTGAGGAAGAACTCCATGGACCCCTCATAGATCATGACTCCTGCTGTCATATATATCTCTAGTGGTTTTACTGTGAAGCTAATGAAACTTTGGCTTCAGAGGCCCTCACTTGTTTGGGTTCTCACTAAGACCCCTAGAGGAGCCTTAGCTATGGGTGCACATGGCTATCCATATGTCTTGGCAAAATTTGTAAAATAAGATACTTTAACCTCAACTGATTAAAATAGTGCCTCTCAACATTTTTTAAAACTTTTTCCCCCCAACAAACTGCTTTCCTCCTATGAAATTTTACTATCACCAATGGACTATTTATCTGTTATGTATTGTGTATATATTTGTGCTTTATATATAAAAAAAGAGTAAGACTTTTTTATCCCCCCCACCAGAACTAACTTTTACATCCTCGAGGTGATATTGTTCCCACTGAAAAAGCAAGGGTTAAGACTATTGTCTTTTGGGCTGGCCCTGTGGCCTAGTGGTTAATTTCTGCATGCTCCACTCCAGTGGCCCGGGTTGAGTTCCTGGGTGTGGACATACACCACGCGTCAGTGGCTATGCTGTGGTGGCAAGCCACACACAAAATAAAGGAAGACAGGCACAAATGTTAGCTCAGGAAGAATGTTCCTCAAGCAAAAAGAGGAGGATTAGCAACAGATTTTAGCTCAGGGCGAATCTTCCTCGCAACAACAAAGAAAAGACTACTGTCTCCCACTTCAACTTCCTTCCATCATAATTCTCCTGGTTTCAGGTGATTTTTGGAGTGAACACAAGTATTTTGGAAATTAGCTAAGACAAACTTGAGTGAGAGAAATATTTTATTTGGACTTAATGGGGTATAGTCATATAGTTTGCAGTTACTTCCATGTACAGTGAACAATTCCAATGTAGGAATAGCTTCCAAGAATACTCCTACCACTTACTGTGCAGATCTACCTGATGTCATGATGAAAAAGTGCAGGGGCCGAGTTCAGATCATCATATGACTGTGTCCTGGGGCATTCAGCACAAGACACATGTGAATTGTGGAAAAGAACAAGTGTTGAAATGTACAGGGCCAGAGCTAGTCTGTGGAAAATTTTTCTAAATCAAACAGCTTATATATGAAAAAGACTTTACAGAAGTATTCTCAAATTTGACAATATTCTTAATGTACATACATCATCAAAAACAAATTGTAAAAGTGAAAGAAACTTCTTACATTATTAGTAATAATAAAAAAATTCAGATTTCTGCTATAGGCCATGAGAGATTCACTTGCATTAATCCTTCTGCTAAGAATGACTAGCTGAGTCAAACAAACAAACAAAAAACAAACATATCTTTGAAGGCATGAGAGGTCTCCCAAATCGAATAGGAATTTAGGAGCCACGATCTGGAGGAGGAGAGAATCACATGATTCTCTATTACTTTCCCTTTCTAGTCATTCAGCAATTCATAAGCCAGGCTCCACTAACAGACTCAGAGGCTTGAGCAGAAAGTTGCTCAAACTGAATTAGTATTCAAGACCTGCCAAAGAAGAGTGGCCTTGGAAAATGCCACTCGTTTTTCATTTCAAAAATGAAAATTTCCAGCTGAAACTGGAAATTCTGAAAAACATGTAATTAAGCTACATCTATTCATGTTTAAAAACTTTTTTAGCAAACTAGAAATAATAGGAAAAATATTTAATATGAAAAGGAATATCAACAACAAAAGCTTATTTAAAAATCGTACGCAATAATGAAATATTGAGCAGTTCTCTCCTGAGATTGGGAATGAGATGAGCACAGATCTCATCACCAATTCTAATCATCGTTATAGAAGAGGGTCTAGCCAGAGCAAAAACGCAAGAACAAGAGATAAGAATCATAATAATTGGAAATGAAGAAATAAAAGTCTCATTATTTGCGGATGACATGATTACACATCTAGAAAATACAAAAGAATCTACAGATTAGTTATTTGTATTAAGTTTTTTAGACAGGTTAACACACAAAAATCAATTTTGTTTCTACATACCAGAAAGAACTCAAAAAATGAAATTAAAAAGATTTATTATAGCATCAAAATTATCAAGTATCTAGGAATAAATCTAACAAAAGATGTATAAGGCCTCTACAACATGTACCGCATAATGATAACGAGAGAAATTAAAGACTCAGTGTTGTTAAGATGTCAGTTCTCCCAAACTGATCAGTAGATTCAATGCAATCTCAGTCCGCATCCCGGAAGTAGTTCTCTTGGAAACTGATAAGCCAATTCAAAATTTATATCAGAATGAAAAGGACCAAGAATACCCAAGATGGTCTTGATAAAGGAAAACAAGACTTGAAGACTTAAGTTACCAAATTTAAATGTTCATTATAAAGTGACAGGCATTAGGATAGTGCAGAAACAAATAGACCAATGGAAAGGAATAGAGCATGCAGAAACAGACCCCCAAAATTGACTTATGCAAAGTATGACATTACTTTGCAATGGGAAATAGTGCACCGATTAATAAATAGTGCTAGGTCAATTGGCTATTCATAAATGCAGCCAAACATATGCAGCCCATAATGTTTGAAGAAAAGAATGGTTGAGGCACATAATTCATTTATTAATGAAAATGTTATGATTTTTAGTGAATTTGGTAATGTGATATTCATCTGCTTTCAAAATTTAGTGATTTGTTTTATTTATTTTCTTATAATAAGTATTCCTTTTTGTAGCCACTTTTCCATTTTTCATTTTGTATTATTTTTCTTAAAGAGGGCTCCTCAAATTGTATAAGCTTCAGATAAAATGCATCATGGATCTGTCTGTGGCTGTATCAGCTTCATGTTATAACTGGTGAAAGGGATGGAACGGTGTAACAAGGAAGTGGAATGTTGGGTTTCCAGATTTTTGAGATGAAGCCATGTTAGATGAGGTTCGAATCCCAAGTATGGCCCTGGAGATGAGCAGAAGTGGAAGAGGAGGGAAAGTCATTGTCATGAACACATCCAGAATTCAAACACTTCATTTTTCAATAAGTTATTCTTGATGTTGTATTTTCTTAGACTTAGATGTGTTAAATCTAAATGAGACTCCACCATGGGGAGCTGGAGTTAGTGATCTCAAGCCAAGTCTTAATCCTTGCATAGAATAAGACTAGGTAACTTGGGAGGGTGGTAGATAACAGATACAAGGAAGGATTAAGAGTTTTAGTATGACTTTCTGAGTCTCAAAGTGAATGAACTTCCACAAATGTTGAAAAAGTAACAGTCTGGAAATGATAGGGTTCACTAACCACATCTTCTTCAGGCCAATTCTTCATTCATGCTCAGCGCATATGCACCCAGTACGTACCTCTATCATTTTATTCATCGTCACGGCTTATCAGCTTATCTGTTTCCCCCTATAGACTGTGAACGTCTGGAGGGAACAATGAATGAAAGATTCATTGGATCTATTTGCTTAAATAAATATAAGCTTTAGGTGGAGACCCTACTTTTTAACCATTTTATCCTAATGCCTGTGATATAATAGAAACTTTATAAGTGTTTGTTGCATTAAGGATAAGAAAATGAATGATAAAATATATTATTTCCTCTGATGTGGCCCTCTTTTCTACTCTTTGTTTCTATAAGTACCACATTCTCTTAACATCCATTTCCACCATTGGCTAAGATTTCTTTCTCTTCTAGAGATATGCCATCAAAATTTATGAGCATGTCCTGGAATTTCAAAAAAAAATGAGGTTCAATGTTCTGGCTCACCTGGATTAATTTCATTTTTAATCTGTAGTTTGAAATTTATTGTCCTCATTTTGTCAATGGCCCTTCTAAATTTTTCACCAAGTCAGATTAATCTCCACTTCCTGGGCTGACCTTAATGTTGTCACTTGCATGGATAAGGTAGCTTTCTGGATGTCAATATTTCATTTTAGGAGTAAGAAAGAATGATTTAGTATAGGTAAATTCAATCTCATAGCAAAATAAATGTTTTTACTTAAGGTCAATAATCCTTTTACAGTGAAAGCGTCATGACTTTTTGTTTGTTTGTTTAAATGCAATCTCTAATTCTTCAACCTTAAGACAGTTATTACAGACAAGTTCCCTCTCATGGGCCAAAATAAGTTTTTGTGTATGACTGTAAACCAAAATTCGTTTTCGGGAAATAGACATTATGAGATGACATCCTCCATGAATTGGCTAAGTACTTGGCATGCTGTACGTTTCCATAACTCCGATTTAGGAGACAGAAGCTAGCACTGGTTGAGCATCCTCTAGGAGGCAAGCACAGAGCTAACCCCGGGATAAGATGACATTATCAAACTTATCCTCCTTAATGACCTTATGGTTTTAGGTACCATTATTTCCTACTTAAAAGTGAAGAGGTGGAGGTTTAAAGAAACTGAATAACCTGTCCATGTTTAGCTAGTAAGTGGCAGAGCCAGGATTCAAGCCCTGCCTTTTTGGAGTTTTGAATTCCCATGGTCTTTCACTCCACCACATTGCTTTGAGTTTCCCATTTGTTAAAAAAGAAAGAAGGGGCCGGCCTGGTGGTGTAGTGATTAAGTTCATGTGCTCCACCTCAGTGGACTGGGGTTTGCAGGTTCAGATCTTGGGTGTGGACATAGCACCACTCATCAAGCCACATTGTGGCAACATCCCACATAAAACAGAGGAAGATTGGCACAGATGTTAGCTCAGGGCCAATCTTCCTCACAAAAAAAAAAGGGGAAAGACATTCATGTCAAAGTACTAGAAAGTAGTCACACTGCTTATATCTTGTTGGGAAAAAGCCACTTATCAATTCAAGAATCTGTTCCCACACTATTAAGATCCAGTTAAAGGCTACCACTTCAGTGAAGCCTTCTCTATTCTGATCCACAGCCATCCTTGCCCTTTCCAAATACCTACCAGTCATTTCCTTATTTCACTCTGTCCGGGCATGATAGTGAAAGTGTCCCATCTCCTTAGTCTCTTATGTGTGCTTTGTTTTCCTTAAAAATCCATCATTTTCCAAAGCAAACACTCTACTTATGCTTCTCTTATGTCCATTATTGGGTTTATCCCAGAACTAGGATCAAAGCAGAATTAGAATCAACTTTCAGCCCATTTTGAAATGAAAAGGATTCACATATAAAGAAAATACATTATTAAAGTATTAAACCATGTCAGATGATCTTTTAAGTCCACGTGGTTTTTGGTGGTGATACGACTGATATTCCTTTCAACTTGTGATAACATTTTTCAAACACTTTGCTTTCCTTCATTAAATCAGTGCTTAAGTTATTTGGGAAGCCCCGTGAGCTGGGGGGTCATAAGTGCTTGAGTCTCAACACCAGCACTGCCATTGAATTGCTGAATGTCTTTGAACAACTCACTTTGTCTCTCTGATCCTCAGTTTCTTCCACTGTAGAATAAAGATAATGATAGTACCTAGCTCATTGGATTTAATACAATAATATCTATAAAATATCCAAACAGCACTTGACAAATGATTGGCACTTAGCAAATATGTATTCTCTTCCTTCTATTCATATATTCTCAAAATCTATTCTTATCTTTTCCAATTTACCTATAAGGGAAATGAGGAATTTGCAGGCACAACTTAGGTGTGAGCAGATCTATTGTCTTCATCAGGGTGCTCAGCATATTTCCATACTTTTTTCCCAACTGTACCTCTGCTACAATATTGTCCCCTACCTTGTTTCCATCTTCAGCTGCTGAAGCTTTTCACAGTCAAGCTCCAATGCCACCTCCTCAGGAGAGCCCTCCTCCATCCTTCTAGCCAAAGCAATATCTCTTCTAGCTCCATTTCTCTTAACAATATTTATCACATTCTATTGCCATAGATTTCATCATCATCTCGTTTCATCCAAGTACAAGTTCTGAGGCTTCCCTCTGCATATTTAAACTTCATTCCGGGTTTCAAGGACCCCCTCTTTCTGCCTGGAGGGCTCTTGAATGTCCGGCATCATTGTAAAGAGAAGTGTCCGCGTGGGTCAATGCGGTAAGGCTTAACAAATCCTTGGGGCCCTGGCAGTCGTGACTTTCTGGACAATCAAGAGTCAATATGCACAGGACACTTAATGAAAAGCAGTCGGCAGACAGTGATGAAGAGAATGGCTAATTGGCAGGCAACACAGAGCACCCTATGGGTTTTACAGTGGTTCCCACTTTTTCCCTTTTGCTGGTAAATGATGGGGTTAGGCAGAACCTCAATGCTGACTTCATTCCCCCTCACATTAGCCCCTTGGGTCATATACCCAATTCTTGGACACACCAAACTCCTACAAGGATAAGCCCCGTTCTCTTTTCTAGCCTGGATGACCTTCATCCTGAGTTCTTTCTTGTACTTTTTCCAGATCGTCCTTGAACCATAAACTCTATTTTACTTCTATCAGGATCTTCTCTTTTGATTTTCAAGAACTTCAGCCAAACATTTCCTCTTGTAAATCAAAAGCTTTTGCTTTCAATTATTGTGTCTGATGTCGGCTTCAAGAGCTTATTTTGAAGTTGAAAAAAAATCAACATTTTTTTTCTCTCTGCTTTAATAATCCTGATTCTTTGAGAATTATTTTGTGGATGCTGCTGACTGAACAACAAAATGTTCACAAACAAAGAAGAGCAGAAGGGAAAATTATCAAGGTTGATATTTTAGTATAATATATTTGACACTTTATATTATAGATATTTGCATACATCACATCTCTCCTAACAGGTGTAAACTCCTTCAAGTCAGAAGTTTACTCTCATCTCTTTATATCCTCTCAAAGTACCAAGACTTTCGTTTTGCATAGAGTAAGTAAATAGTAAATACTTGTTGAATTAAATTGAAAAAGCACAATACATGTGTTTTGGAAATCCAAGGGCAAAGCCACATGGAAGGACTTGGAAGCCTAATAATACACAGACACTGAAATGTGCTAATCAATTGACCCAGATAGACAAAAGAACAGTAGTTTAAAATTAAAAGCATGCAGAAAATTGTATTAGCCTTGATCAGAAGGCCACATTATAAAAACATGTTAATAGGATAGGTGACACACATTTAAATGTTTCTTACACATCCTACTGGAATTCGATACTCAATCTAAATAAATTATGACTTGTTTGATTAGTTGTTCCTGTGCAGCCAACTCAAAATTAAATTATTTATGTAAAACCAAAGAATATTAGTTGGAGATATTACAAATGATATTTAAAAACTATCTCCTCTTATTTTAGGTGCATAAGATATAGTCTGTCTGAAATAATTCACTATTTTATTTAATTGTTCTCTTTGTGGCTACTGTTTTTATTCAGGTGACAAAGGGGAAAAGGGTTTGCCTGGGATACCTGGAGGAAAAGGCAAAGCAGGTACCATATGCTCATTTTGCTCTTTAATTTCTAGCATCATTCCAAATATAAAAATATTTTTATAGAAAAACAAAAGTCTTTTCGGTGTGCTTAACCTTATTTTACATGGATTAGAGAAAAGGGAAGAAGCTAACTTTCTTCTCTATCTGCTGATGACTTTCCAAGCCCTGAGGAAGGGGATGAAGGCACGTTCCACCCCCATCCTGCTTACTGCGAGAAGGCAAACCCAGCACATCAGGAAGCAGCCCTCACTCTCCTAGCCCAAGAGAAGAATCCACAACGGCCTCAGCAATAGGACTGTATCAGCACACCTTACATTCCTCCAGCATCTCAACTGAATGCTGGCCAGCAGTTTTCCAGCAGCAACCTTGCCTAATCCAGAAAGGCCTATGGTTACAGAACACGTTTTCAATGGCCAGGGAGATTCTCCCTGAGTAATGAGAGTTTTATTTCCAGTGCTTTATGCAGGGAAAGAAAGTAGACTATTCTTGGGGAGCTTCAGTTGTTTCTATCTACAGGTGTAGTGAAGACTAATTCTAAGAACTGTTTTAAATTCCTTATATTTAACTGTGAATATGGGTAAACAAAGCCACAAATATTTTTTCCTTTGGCTAATAAAATTCTTTATATTTTTCATCTAACTAAGAAAAAAGCAAATGGAAGTGTTTACATGAAGCAGCATGAAAAGAAAAAGGGAATCATTTGAATTTCATATCATTTTCCTTACAATTCCCTCTCTGTCACAACATCAGTAGGTCATTGAAAAGATAAAGGAGTGAAGGAGAATGCAAGGCAGAAATTAAAATCATAGTCAAAGCACAAATGGGACAACTGATTCTTGAAATTGTAAGTTAGATCTATTCATAAGATTTAAACTTAGTCCTTGAAACATTCAATCTATACTCCAAAGAGATAATCAGAATTAATGTTTGATTTCATCACGAAAGTCCTCTCTTGTCTGGGGAGAGTTGTGCGAGCCCGTGAACAATGCCGTAACACATGAGAAGACTGGCTAGAAACATGTTTTAAGAAAGCCGTAAAGTTATATTCTGAGATCGGACAGGCACGTTTGGGTTCAACAAAAAGGTCAAATGGTCCACAACATGTATGCAGCGATTTGTCATACTTACTCTTCTTTTTAAAAATTCTGCTTTAGAACTGTGTTGTAACTCAAAATATTTAAAAAGATATTTTCTGAGTTCCTAAAGACAACGTAAATCGGAAATGGTGTTTTAAATAAAGGATTAAAAGTATAGCCATCCACAGAGACATACCCAAACTAGAAAAAGATAAAGAATATTGAGAAGAGAGTGACAACTCTTTTCAAATGATCTGCATACACTTCAACATGAATTCACAGTTTTTGTCATTTAAAAGGTACTGTCTGTGATTGTGGAAGATACCGGAAAGTTGTTGGACAACTGGACATTAGTGTTGCTCGACTCAAGACGTCTATGAAGTTCGTCAAGAATGGTGAGTATATTCTCTTTTGCTTTGTGGTATTTATCTGTCAATTTAACCTCTTTCAACACTACAATTCCAATATTCCTAGCAGGAAATACCTCGGGTTGGGCAAAAGACTACTGAGATAGTGTTAACGAGTTTAAAGGCCTCTCGAAATGCTAATTATCCACTCAGACTCCAGGATGCTTCAGGTCCACTACACGGATTCATCCATATGTGCATTGCCTATGAGTAGAGAGAGGGGAATGGAGAAAAGGGCAAAGTTTGGCAAGCCATGCCTTGAGAATAAAAAGGGACAGCAAGAGTCAAACAGAGCTAGCATCTCAGCAAATAGAAGTAATAATCAAACAATAGTTACTTTCTTGAGTCCTTGGAATGATAATAAGAATTACCATATGGGTACTGTGTTTAAGCTGAAGTGTAGAGAGAGATTACCTTGCGCATAGATAAACAGCAAATGAACAGTGGAGCAGGGACTGGAAAACAGGATTTGCTGACTTCTCTACCCTCAGTACAAATCAATAGGAACATTATGTTTCTCTAAATTTTGCAACTTCCCATACTAGTCATTTTAGTTATCCCTTGTCCATTTTCCCACGATAGTTAGCAGTAAAGCCTTTAAAGTGGGGCTTATGTGTTCTCTTCTGAGACAGTATGAATAAAGGAACTATTGTAGTTACTGACACAATTGTTTTCATTTTATTGTACTTTCATTTATTGTAATTCAGTTATATTTGTTGTACATTTTTGAAAGCATACAGATTCCATCTTGTGTTCCTCCTCATCTTGTAATATTAGACACAAAGGAAATGTTAATATTAACTAACTACCCTAGTTATAGCTCTGATTATCACTTGTACAGAAGATGCTGTCTCTGACATGACTTCAACTCTAATGAATAAACCAAACCTCAGAGGTTCAACATAGAACAATAGTTGTTAACATTTGAGTGGTCACAGATTTCTTTGTGAATTTTAATCCATGAACCCTAAAAAGCATATGCAGATGCCCCCGAAGCCCAAAGCATGTATACCACATTTTGAGCTCAGGATGCTTTTGAGTCTCCAATTCTGTCTTGAAGTTTAGTCAGTAGCTCAGTCGATTTCACGTACCTGGAGGGAATCAGTACCTGTTCATAGCCCAGGAATTCGACTCAAAGTGGAAAAACTTCTGTATTATTTCTATATCAGTTTAATAAGATTTTATCATTCCTTGCAATTCTGAAAGCACTGAGGCTACAGAGTGCCAGAGACATGGTCCTTGGCCTCAAGACATTCACAGTTTAGTAGGAGACACACAAACAAACAATTAGGCTAGATGTGTTGAGTGCTATGAAGTGGAAGGGGCAATGGAAACATAGAGGGAGAACACACAAGAGACCTTGTGTCCATCCAGGGGCATCGGAAAGGTTCTTATAGGAGAAAATACTTCTGCTAAGATCTAAAGGATGAGTAAGAGTTTCCCAGGTAGAGAAGCTGTGGGAAGACTTTCCAGGCATGAAAGGCTTGGATGTGGAAGAAAGAAGGGCATGCTTGTGGGACTGTAAGTATGGCAAAAGCACAAAATAGGATGGGAAAAATAGCCTGAGATAAGCTGGGTGAAAGTTCATACAAGTCTTTGTCAAAATAACTCTCGCTTTCACAGTTGTGTGGGAAGTGAAGGAGGAAGAGCAGCAAGGACAAACGAGAGGAGCTTGTTCTTCATTTGATGACTAGAAAGGTGGAGAAAATATTAAACCAGTGCCTACCTCATAATAGGGCTTTGCAAAATAAGTGTTGAATGTTGAATCAATGAATTCAAATCCAGCCATATTATATTCTTGTCTTTTCCCTTTTTGAGATGAGTAATCATACTCTTCTTCTCCTCTGTGCAAAGTCATAGCAGGGATTAGGGAAACCGAAGAGAAATTCTACTACCTTGTGCAAGAGGAGAAGAACTACAGGGAATCCCTGACCCACTGCCGGATCCGGGGTGGAATGCTAGCCATGCCAAAGGACGAAGCCGCCAACACGCTGATCGCCGACTATGTCGCCAAGAGTGGCTTCTTCCGGGTGTTCATTGGGGTGAATGACCTTGAGAGGGAGGGGCAGTATGTGTTCACTGACAACACGCCACTGCAGAACTACAGCAACTGGAAGGAGGGGGAGCCAAGCGACCCCTATGGTCATGAGGACTGTGTGGAGATGCTGAGCTCAGGCAGATGGAATGACACTGAGTGCCATCTTACCATGTACTTTGTCTGTGAGTTTGTCAAGAAGAAAAAGTAACTTCCCTCACGCTACATATTCATTATTTCCCTGTGACTACTATCGCAGTTATTTTTATCCACCGTTTTCTTCCTAATTGCACTAAATTCATTCTGACTCAGGACAAGTGAGACATGATAGACTGAGGTTTGGAATCTCCATCGTCATGCCCTTCTGTGACAATTTTGAACAATGTCATACATCATATGTTATTTAGCCAATAGCTCACTGGGTTGCATGGGTCCCAAGAGAGAGTTTAAATTACTAGTTGTGCAGGAGGTAGTTATCTCTGTCTCATACGAAATGTTCTCTTGTCCACCTCTCCCTAGAGCTCTAAACCACTATCTAGCCCAGTGGATAAGTGGACAGTTTGCCCTTACCCAAAGCCAGACATATGGGAAGGCTTTCTGTTAGGAATGTTGAGATATTATCTGTCTTTGAACCCAAGATCCCCAATTCTTTGACCAGTCACCCATCAATCACGGTCATAGCTGCACTCATAAAGTTGTCTTGTTTGCACAGACATAGAAATACTTCAACTCTGAATCTCCGTATCAGGGACTTCTAGCCCAGTGACCTGTTCTACTTTTGTGAAATCAGAAGATTGACAGCCTTCACTGAAGTATACCAAGCAGTTGCCTTGGCCCTCTTTCTGTAGGCCCATGCTTAATCCTAGGCCCCCAGGTATTAACTCTCTGATTTGAGGAAAAGGAAACTTTGGAAATTGAAAAGAAAAAAAAAGAGAAGGTTTGTTCCCAAATAATATTATTTATAATCCTCCTACTAAATTGCCCCCTGCTATTAATACAGCTCCATTTTTCTTTGTCTTGGTTTACGCATATTGACTTTCCTCCCCTTAGGCATGGGAAATGAGGAAAGAGGTTTGTGAAGCCTTCAGAAAATTCTAGAAGCTTCAGGGTGCTACCAACACCATGTCTCTAAGTCCACTCCTCCATGCCTCCAATATATCATTCACAGTGACATTTCACGGGAGGCTCTTTACTCTCTATAACTGTATGTTATACAAACCCCACTACCAGAGATGACATCAGAGGAATGTGTCAGGCATGGAGTTTGGAACATACCTCAGACTCACACTTACTGAGCTGGTAAAATTCTACTTTGAACTGCAGATCAAACCTCAAAGCAGCTTTCATTTGGAATTTAAAAATAAATAGTTCAAAAAAACTCTAGATCATCCCATTATAAACTGCTACTCCAGTTATAGTTTGCGGCATAAGATTAGACTGTTTAAAATGCTTGCAAAATGGTTAATGAAATAAGAGAAACAAGATCAACAACATATGTTCACCTTAAACCATCTGTCCATGATTTCACCCATGACTAACTGGTTATGAGACAGGATTTAATTAGGTTATTTCTGTGGGTGTAATTAGGGTCACAAACTTAGGTCCTACAGGGGCCATACAGATGACATAAATAAGTGAAATGGAACAGGTGGGGATCCTAGCACACTGAACACAGCTTGCCCTTTGAAAAGAACCAGCTGCTCCACAGTTTCTGCTTTTTTTTGCCACGGAGGACCCAATGTCGCTACATGTTCTGGCATTGCAAGAGAAATCAGAAAGTTGGAACTTTATAAGATATCTTTATATTTTTAAATGTTGGCATCTAATCAATTTTTAATCCAAATTTTAAGTCATATGAAACCGTCTGCTAGCCACAATTGTGACCTTTCCATTTCTCACCTCTGGGGAAAAGTTCTGAAGGTTCTAACCATATCGAATGTCATTAGGATACAATGCATCAAAGTCAAGATCTCTCATTAATATCTCATTCAGTTCAGTTCAAACAGAAATTTGTTGAACGTTTGCCATTCACCAGGTTAATAAACTAGTTACTTATTCAGACTTTTGAGACTGTGGCATATGATAATTTGAAGGCAGGGCAGCTTAATAAAAATTAGAAAGAGGACACCATATCAAAGCCAGTATTCTTGGGTAAAATACGAGCCAAGAGCACAAGGGACAAGAGCCTGGAAACACTTAGAGGAAAAGACAAGGATAAGAAGAGAGGAGAGAGGGAATGGACAGCAAACCTTGCCTAGGGGCAGCTCACATTGGAATCTATATTTTAATTTGTTCTAAGCTCCCAAAGTATGAATATTTATTGTGTATACTGAAAGTGTTATTATTTCTGTTATGATTATTATAATAATAACATTTCTCTCAATGACTCATCTTTGCTGCCAGTGCTTCCAAAAGAAGAAGACAGAGTTAAAGAATAGGATTCATCCTGCAACTTTGCCAGGAAGAAATTTCAAAGGCACCACATACTTAATTAGATTTACTATAAAACTTACATTTTGTGAACCACTCTGTGCGTTACAAAATAAATGCCTTCACGTATCATTTCTCATTCTATCCTGATCAACTCTGTGAAGTACAAAGAGAAGACTTCTTTACTGCCATTTTTCCAGTGAGAACACTGAAGCCCAAGGAAACTAAGCAACTTACCAAAATCAGCTCATTTGAGAGAAAAGCAGGACTCTAACCTGCTGATCGAAATTGCCAATCCAGTCTTTTCTCCACCCTCTGTTTATTGCTCTTATATTGAATGGAAGTTCATCTATGATTCCTTCGTGATAGCAGGGGCTCAAATGGTCTTTCTTGATTACTTTCAAAAGTTAAAGATTAGAGTTAATTAACAGAGATGCTGGGGATTCAGAAACTTGCCTTACAAATTTATTGTTCAGTGGTTTATTTTTTTAATTCATGAATATCTATACACGGCATCAGTGTTGGGGAGGTGAGTTAGTGTGGTATTACTACAGTTTTGCAGATAACTACAAATATAAGGAAAGCAAAGCAGATATATGAAAATCAAGATTCGCCCCAAATAAAAATGAGTAAATAATTATTTGCCCCATAAAACAATTCATTAGAGAATTCCCTTAAATAATAACATTTAAAATCAATTTCACTCTTAAAAAGTTGAATTTATACTCAACTTTTCAGAGACACATCTGGGTACTTCCCACAAACTACATGAAAGTTCCAAGGGAAGAAAATAAAAAATTAACTCACAATTTCATAACAGTGCCTTCTCAATCAACATAGTCTATAACCAGGCAAGAAGAGATATCTTATGCCCAGATTCACTGTCCAAACATCGTGTAAACGTATACATCCTGTGTTGACAGAGACATAACAAACATTGATTACACTTTGGTCAACTCACCCATAAACACTACTGGCTTTTTAAAAAAATCCATTCTGCCCTGCTTAGATCTGCATTATCCAAATATGGGCTCCTTTAATCGTTGTTAACCAACTAATTTTCAGCTCTCTGGATTGCGTACTTCGAGGCAACGAGATGTCTGTGGAACAGGAAAAGTTAGTTTATCTAGTTAAATCGCAGCCCCCACTGCATCATCAACAGATCGAGACTGAACGTTTCCAGAGATTATCTCTGATTAGAAACTTGTGGTAGGATTCCACGCACGGTAACACAGGTTTGCAAGTATCGCTTTGAAATTAAAAAATCTGGATTTGGTGTCATGACTGCCTTGAATTCCATTGCTGACTGTGCCACTTACTAGCCATATATGGGTAATATTTCCCAATATTACCTTATCTAACCCTTGTTTTCCAAATCTATGTAATTCCTCCCCACAGAGTTTTCTGACAACTAAAGGAGGTAATGTATATGGAGGAAAGAATCAGAGTACCAGCTGGACACAATACATGGGTACAGAAAAACAAAGAAACAAACCATATTTTAAGATACATAGGGGGCCGGCCTGGTGGCACAGCGGTTAAGTGAGCACGTTCCGCTTCTCGGCGGCCGGGGTTCACCGGCTCGGATCCCGGGTGCGGACATGGCACCGCTTGGCATGTCATGCTGTGATAGGCGTCCCACGTATAAAGTAGAGGAAGATGGGTATGGATGTTAGCTCAGGGCCAGTCTTCCTCAGCCAAAAGAGGAAGATTGGCAGTAGTTAGCTCAGGGCTAATCTTTCTCAAAAAAAAAAGACATAAAAAATTACTCAAGTGAAAGAATATTTGTATATAGCACATACAATGTGCTAATATATGATATATTCATATATATGTATGTTCTCTCTATGTGTGTTTGTCTGTGTATCCACAGAAAGGTAACTTTTTTATCCAATTTATAGATAAAATTTTTGTCTTCAAGGCAGTGAATAAATCTTCCAAAAGCTGTGCCACTGTTTAGAATTAGAACTGAGGTTCATAGCTGGATATGATTGATTCTAAAACCATCTATACTTTTTCTAGAATGCAGTTCATATGAACCCACATTTATCACACAAAATAACTATCTTTTTAAACTTGAAAATGATCATTGATTGTATTATCTTGAGATGGTAAGGTCTTCATGGTATAGCTAAGTTTCTTAAAATTTGAGGGGAAAAAAGTCATATCCTTTCAAATGCAGAGTAAAGGAAAGGAACTATTTGCCATAGATATTGTATACATGAATCTTTTTTATCAATATAGAACTTTCCTCTACTGCCTCCCTACCAGGTGGTCATGCAGTCCATATTTGAATGTTTTTGGTAATTTCATAATCCTATTAGAAAGTTTTCCCTCATAGTGAACTAAAATACATGTCTCTCTAATTTCCACCCATTGTCCTTGTTCCACCTTTTGCTGTTTATAACTCTGAGAGGTCTGGCCCTGAGGCAGCCTGGGGCAGTCTCTTAAGGAAGGTAAATTTCAGAGCACGGAGAACTGTCCTCACTATGGCACTTGGTTACATATATATTAGATTTACTATAAAAGGTGGGTATGCAGTGTTACACATTTCTCTAAACCTGGATGGCATGCCCCACATCTAATGAATTCAAATTTTGTTGGTGAAGCATGAGAGGCACAGATGTAGGGTATAAATGGTATTCAAAGTCATGTGGGGCATCTCAATCACAAATTATTTATTAGGGTGAGATACATGGTGGACAGGGTTCAACCCCCATGGGAGGAGGCTGTTAAGAGGTAGATGGTTTGATAAAGCTCCATGGAGGGGATTAGAGGCAGGTGCCCAGTGCCAGTGGGAAAGTGAAGCCAAAATCAGAGTCCAGATGCATGAAGCCTACATGATGAACAATTGGCTTAGGTGGATAGTAGAGCTTATTAACTCATTAATTCAACAAATATATTTATGAAGCATTTAATGTGTGTTAAGTAACACCATGATAAGGGCTGGAGACACAATGGAAAAGAAGAAAGATTAGGTTTCTGGCCTCATGGGCAGAACTCCTCTCAGGTTCGTTGAACATCGAGCCTACCACACTGAGGCCCAAGATTTAACCCATTGTCAAGGAAAGAATATATAAACCTGTCCTATTTTTACCCTTACTTCTTCTTCAGCATAACACCTCTTCAAAGATGTGAAATAATTTGGACAAGAGAATTTTTTATAGAAGTACCACATTATCCTTTCTCAAAGAGCAACAGTGACACATCTCTTCAAATAAATTTACACATCCATTTTGGCTGACTCATTTTGAC